TCACGTTGTATATTTCCTGGTTGCTTCTGAAATTTTAGAGAGCCTTGAAAGGGGCATGTTCTTTCTTATTTCCTCCGTACAGAGTTGCCATTAACACTATTTTCGTCTTTTCCTGTTTGAATATAGTGTGAACATGGTATCGCAGCTGCTCATCGCATGTAAGGACAAAATATTTTCAGCAGCTGTCCTGTTCAAAATAACGTTAGGGTGGAAGGTTTGAGTTTTCTCTCTTCCAGATTTTAGGATATACATGTTAGATGCATTGACCCACCAATAGCACAAGGAGTTCGAAACCTCCACTAACAACTGTCACAGAACTACATTCCATAACCAGTGCAAGTGCGACGGTGATGATGGGTCTGTCAGGCATCACATATCCGGCTTCTTGAAACTTGACTTTGCCAGAATGAATTCCTGGACACCCTGGAGATTCTTGTCAATAGAGAACAACATAGCAGCTTGTTTCTTTCACATTTTTTTTGCTTAAGTTCTCTATACGTTTCGTGCTCTCCTGCGACTACAGGTATGCGTCAAATAAAATGTATGAAGGTACAAATGTAAAGTGGATTCGGGTTCGTCATTGGGACGATTCTATAACGGTTTAAAGTAGTTGTCCGACTGCTTATTAAGCTTGGACTGGCGCAAAATTTTCCAAGTCTCAACTGTGCGAGTACTTTTGACTGTTCTAGGACCGTTCTGATGGTTAATCCGAATAAGGCCATAATAAAACGTCTCACCTATCACGTGACCTCTCATTCCTACTCGCACCAGTTCGATTTATAAGTTTTTCGTTAGATGGCCAAGTCAGTTTAAATAATGGACTGCTGTTGAAGTTGAGGAGGATGATCATTTTCAATCTTTCTAGGAAGTGACCAATTTAATGACTGACAAAATTGTAGTAATTAATATTTATTTCGAAAGAGTATGTCAAGTTTATTCTCGTAAAATGAATGCTTGAAGTGAATAACTGGTGGGAGTTGCCTACATTTTTTATTTTTCATTAATATCGCAGAAGACAACAGAAAAGTTTCTGGGAAAACTTCCGATTTATATTCATTACCCTAAAATTTTGAATTTGAAACATAAACATGAGTTTTCTGATTTTTTCCAGACCAGTTATCAATATCATTCGATTGCCTCAATGATGAAAACAAAGAATGTGTTTTTGAAAAGTCATAAATCTCTTCCAAAATTTCATTCATAGAAAGGAATATCGTATTTAGCAAGAAAGTGTTTATTAAAAATTAATTGTGTTCTTATCAAAAATGTACAGGGTGATTCAAAAGTACTTTGACAAACTTCAGGAGGTGATTCCTCACAATATTCTAATATGAATTGTTGAATTGTTGAAGTTTTATTTTTATTTTCGTTTTTTTCAAATAACTTTCGAAATACTGAACTTAATTAAACGAAACTTGGTAATAAGATTATGAAGTTTGTATTGTGAAATGAAGCGAACACGATTTGACGAAAACAATACCACAGACAGTTAGTTCAACAAAACTCTCACAAGTTCAACCGCAAGCGGAACATTAATATCAAAGATAGAAATGAAATTTGACGTTAGCCGAGCAGCTAAAAAAATAGTTAGTTCTTCTGGTGAATATAATGGAATGAGATAAATGTTGGGTTTACCAAGGTTCTTAAAAAAATAGTGTTCACACAATCGAATATAAGAAAATAATGGAAAGGGTGTTTTATTTCTGAATATATAGGTATATATAAAGAAATGAAATTGGAAAGAGCTTGGCTCTTTTAAACACTTTATAAAGAATTTAACAAACAGATATGCAAATCATATACACAGAATTACGCTTTCACATGAAAGGAAAAAGTTGGTTTGAAAATACAAAAGTATAATGGAACTGACCACCGAGACTTGATAAAAATTCATTATAACGTATTCAGAAAACATACTTCAAAGGAAAACGCTGTTCAGTTTTCTTCATTTCTATCTTTATTGAAAAAATTTGGAAAAATTACGAAAAAAAGAAATTGAATAACTTTATTAAATGTTCCGCCATTTTGTAGTAGGTGAAGATATTGACTTCATATTCTAGGGTTGTGAAGTATTCATCAGGAGCTTAAAAATAATGTATCACAAGATTCCCCTTTCCATTTTTTCCCAGATTTCGGAAGTGTCATCTGTCAATTCCACTTCAGAACAAAGTATTCATGCATTAATTTCATTATCCCAAATTTCAACTTTTTGAGTAGACCCGTTCAATTGAAAAAATAAGAGGGGGTGGGACATTAAAGAAATGCACTGTATAAATAAGTTAAACTCATGTCTGTTATGGATTGAAACCTATCAAATATATGAGTTTCTGACAAATACGATCATATTTATTGGTAATAAGAAATAAAACCTCCAGCGTGAAATGAAGCTAGTGAAAATTACTTCTTTCACAAAGTAGCACTACGAAAATTATTTTCCTCAAAACTGTGGAGATGCCCTAGAAGTGTAAAGCTCTTGCTTGTTTACCTATGCTCTGTCTCCTCTGTTTTAAGCAACAGAGTGCTTCAAAACATTATCATCATTTCTTCTTTTTCAGTGCGGTCAGTGGACTCAGGTCATTCTTGGCCCCAAAAAATAGTTGCATTCCTCGTAAAAGAGCAGATTCTTGCAGAATCAAAAAATTTGTTGCTAATCGTCTGAGAGAAATTCGGTCTATGACAAATATGATAGACTGATATCCCGTAAATTCAAAAATAATTGTGCTGAATTGTCGACAATTGTTGTTGAATGAATATTTCTGTCGGGTATAGAAATCAACATTTATTTCCAGATTTTGTTCTAAAAAAAAATAGAACGTATCTTAGCTTTCCTTCCAAGATTCATGGAGAAAAATTCAGAGAAAGTTTGGTACATTGATTCATGTGAAATTTTCAATATATTCGATTCTGTCTGTCTTCATTGTTAATTAAAGTGAATTTGATTGAAATCACTCTGGTAAAATTATTATTCACATTGGCTATATTCATGGAGAAAAATTCAGAGAAAGTTTGGTACATTGATTCATGTGAAATTTTCAATATATTCAATTCTGTCTGTCTTCATTGTTAATTAAAGTGAATTTGATTGAAATCACTCTGGTAAAATTATTATTCACATATTGCTTGTTTTATCCAATAGATGCAAATGTGCGTTGTAATCATGCTTTGATCACGCATCTATCTTTGTTTGGTTACTTTGTTGGATGGATTTAGTTCAACTGAAATCATTATATAATATCAATTGCAAAACCTCATTTCATTATTTTTTCATTGAAGAAGAATAGGAACTTTTTCTGATAGAAACCAGTAGGTGTTTACATTTTTTATGAATCATTTGCTATTGAGAAATTCCGGAAAAAATAAAAAAGTTCAGTGACATACTAGTTTCAACAATTTCATGATTATTTTTCGAAGCTTGTTGGTCCAGGCTAGACTTATCTTTACAAAACATAAGTGTCGAATTCTCCTTGAAATGAGTTTGACAATTATCGCTACTATCGCTACTATCGCTAATGTTCATTCGCCAATTATAGATGAAGGGAAAGTTCCTTGTACGTGATATGATCCTACATATATGATAGATCAACAAATATTCTTAATACAATAAAAAAATTCTATAAAATACTATTTTCTTCGAGCGCATCGTCTATTATCTGATAAATCCGTGGTCCCAGGTATGATGTATTTCTATGAACAACAGAATAATTTTTTCATAATGGAAAGTATTTTTAGGGAAGTCTTTTTGAGAAAAAGCTTTTGTTTTTGGGCTCTCTATTTCTCCATCAGTAAACGAAAAATGCGAAAAATTTTCAAAAAAAGGAGTAAAAGATATGATCTAGATATCTAAAAAATTCATAAAGAGTTTTTATTGTAGTTATTTTCTTTCCTCCTTTAGAAGTTTCCCATATTTTTGATTAATGATGGAGAAGTAGAAAGCCACGAAGTTTTCTATTCTAGAGGATTATTTCTGTTTTTTGTTTGGTATAAAGAGAATGGTTGGGTTTAACTGAATATTCTTTTTCGAATATTATTGTCTCATGTTGAGTATCTACCTGTGTGTTTCTGAAAACACTGTCACTCGAGCATTTTTGTCCTTCGTCAATTATTATTTCAATATTCACTTTTGATTACACCATTCAACAATATTTAACTTGTCTCCAGCCTATTATCCCGTTCAACAACTGAGATTGAACAAGTGTAAGGTGTAAGATATTCAATTGAGTCACTTTCAGAAATCATTTTTAATATTAGGTTTTACCTCATCAAGCAATCTACTGGAGTGTTATGTAATCTCAGTGCAGTATTCATATCTAAAAAATTTCTTCTACACATAATTTAAGTTATTCCCACGTAGATCCAAATTACACAATGTATCAACTATACTGACCCTCCGACTTCTCGACTATTTGAATAACTCTTGAAGAGTTCATTCGTTGTCCAGTTTTTCTAAAAGTATAGGGTGATCACTGTATCAATAGCTCCAGAAAGATCAATGGAGATGAACAGTGTTCGAACCTTTTGTATGAGGAATCATACGGTAAACAGCAGATACCCCTATGAATAACAACCCTTAAAGGTCGAAAATGTTGAGAGCAAAGAATTGATGAGGTCTTATTTTTCAACATACGACCCAGTGAAAATCGATCATCTGGCTACTCGGTTCGAAAAGACCGTTTCATCTGACGATTGATTGAATGCATGGAACAAACCACTCATGCCAACCCAACCGACTATACCGTCCCGATGAAGTTGGGTTATTTTAAATAACTATCAATTATACCTCAATTTCAGAAGAATTTTTTTTCAAGGTTTCTGAACGATTACCGTCACACCGTCACTTTTGTGTTTTCATGTACTGATACTTTCATGTATCAGTTTCATAAACTACCGGAGTTGACATAACACATGTATTGATCAATTATATCAAAAATTTCATTTTCTAGATGGCAGTCAACTGTCGAACTCAAGGACATTTTTGAACTTTATTTCCTGTAGTATAAGTCAATAAATAAATTGGAAAACAAAATTGAATTGAATGACATATGTCAATATAAAACGTCGGAATCTATTGAATAAAGCAGATAAAGCATCGTACAAAATGATTACAGAATATGATTTACACGGAGAAGACGAAGGAGTTGTGCAAGTTCCCAATTTTGAACAAGAATTCTCTAGCGCCAAAACATTTTTGCAAACTGCGAGTGCACATACCGGAGATAATTTATATGATCATCTAACAGACGTGTTGAATAAGATTCTCGCCGAGAGACCCGAAAATGTTATTGATTTCTTTGAAGAATATAGCAGAAAAGTCAAGGAAAGGCGATTCACACCTATGACCGATCACTTGGAAGATATTTATGTATCTCCAGGAAGATTGAGTTTAGCCAATAAAATATTACCGATGATGAAACCCCTCCCGCCAAGGGAACCGTCAACTGTGGATCCTGAAGATTTGGAAATTGCTGATATCTCAAAAAGTAATATGCTGGAACTCCTTTATTATTTTGAACATTGTGGAATTGGTTTGCCGCGACTAGAAATGTTTTTTATTATGTTATCCATAAGGAATTTGATTCACAGTGAATCTATCGCATTTATCAGATTTTGGGGTAAAATCTTTGGTACTCTCAAAGATTACCTCATTGTAGAATGTGATCTCAAGGAAGAAGAGTACATTAAAAGAAATGAGTCATACCAAGAAAAAAAGGAAGAGATTCTAGAACAGACCCAAGAGGATGTTACTGAGGACAATCGTATAACCGAAGCTTTGAATGAGATAGCAAGGCAACAACAGTTAACTGGCGAGGGAACGACAAGCAAATATCCACGACCTCTGCCACCTTTACCGTTGGTACAATTTGAAGAGCCTCCCGAACCACCTTCAGAACCATCTGGTGTTGGAGTAAATAAGAAGGTATACTATGTTTGTAACGGTATTGGAGAACCATGGACACAGTTGCCAGATTGTACACCCAAGCAAATTCGCATTGCGCGACAAATTCAAAAATCATTCACCGGAAATTTAGATGAATCCATATGTTCCTATCCATATTTTCCAGGGAAAGAAAAAGAGTACTTGAGAGCTCAAATTGCCAGAATATCTGCAGGTACTCAGATATCTCCCATGGGATACTACACTTTCGGTACTGCAGAACTAGGGGAAGGAGAGGAAGAAGAAGAACCGGAAGAAGCCGCAGAAGGAGAAAGTAAGACCAACTATAAGCCAAATCCCAAGTATGAACCACCGCCACTCAAAGATCTTCTAGATGGATCCATGTCATTCTGGGTTCATCATACACTTTATATTTTGCCACAAGGTAGAACTTCGTGGTGGAATCCCAGCCCAACGCCTGAAGTAAATGAAGAGGAGATGGAGGAAGAACTCGGAGAAGAAGAAGAACAAGATAAAACGAAAGTTGAACGGGTTGAACCAGAAACAGGACCTCCACTATTAACTCCTTTGTCTGAAGATGCCTCCCTAGAAGCGGTACCGGCCTGGAGTGTGAGATCTTCATCTAATATAATCGATAACTTTGCAATTGCGATTGTCAGAAGCAACTTATGGCCAGGAGCTTACTGCTTCTCGACTCAAGGGAAAATATTTCAAAATGTTTATTTAGGTTTTGGCCACAAATACATGGAACATAATTTTTCCCCATTACCGTTACCTGATGTACAACAGGAATATCCTATAGGTCCAGAAGTTTTGGAAGTAATTGATCCTACGGGGGCTGAAGAAGAACGGTGGCGTATAGATCATTTACCCAAACCCAAACCTGTCATACCTGTAGGTGAGGAAGCTGAACCGGAAGAACCTGAAGAAGAGGAAGAGGAAGAAGAAGATGACTAAACTGAAGTCTTTGCTTTTTTAAGTATTACCTAAAAAATGTTCATATTTTTATATAAAAAATATTTGTTCATAAATGTATAATTGTTTAAATTGATATACTTCAATGATTATCGTTATTACATATAAATCAATACACACATATACGTTAGTCGGAAAATTGAAAAATTATTTTTGAAATAAATGTATGAATTTTTGTGTAGTTCCTTGATAATTGAAATAAATGGTAAGAAGTGAGCAAGCCTCAAAAATAATAATGGGTACCCTAGATTTTCAAGCAAATATTTTCACAAACTATGATTATTGTTAACAAAAATTCCAACTAAATAAATTGAACAGTATACTATATTTTTTACCGCAATAAATACATTACAATTACAAATGCACATATCATGTACAGACAGCAATCAGTTACAAATCTATTGAATAGATTGATTCATGACAATAATTATTATTTCACCAGATACAATGAATATATTACGTATTTGAAAGGTGCTCGCGAGTTTTGTGATAACTCACTGAGTCTTAGAGTCCAAAAATCTACTTTTGAATTGTCTGTTTCAGGAAAGATGCTCTTTGTTGTCTTCATCCTATGGATTTCACCAACGTTTGCTGATTATCATTGTGAAGTCTGACCCACCTTCGAATGCTTCAATGTGACGCAGGATGAATTCTTGGACGAAATATTCAGGAATGAAAGATATATCAAAAATAAAGTCACCTCCATACATATATTTCACGCAAATTACTCCACAATTGAAGAATTTCCTTGCCCTCCACCACTACGGAAAATCCATGTCACTATCAAAACTATAGGTTTGGTGGAAACTAATATTGAAAACATCAATGGCAACGCTTTTGTTGAATGGAAAATCCTGGAAAATATGAACCTGAGTAGAAATCAAATTTCTGATATATCATTCGTGAAAAATTTGCCATGATCAGTTAGCAGTCTCGATTTGCGTTATAATGATGTAACTGTCATGGATTTGAAACTGTTACATGAAGTAAGGAAGTTACTAATCAGGAACAACAAAATTGAGATGATCAATCGCTCAACTCGTACAATTAATATGTGGATTTTGGATTTCAGTCACAATAAGCTCACTAACTATGATGAAAATGATCTAAATTGCAATTCTGATATTCTCGATCTTAGTTACAACAAATTGACACACGTGTTTTTAAACATAGGAAAGTCTAGTGTGAATTTAGTAGGAAACTATATATTATCATTGGGCCCTTATGAGAAAACACCTTTTGATTCCAGAACTCTCTATTTAACAAATTTCCCTTCGAATACTACGTTCCAAATTGAGAATGAATTTATAATGACTGGCTCTAATATAACAAGATTGGATAAACAAATCTTCGATATGAATCGTTTATACACTCAGTACTACAAACGGCCAGTCATAGATTTTTCAAACTCATCTGTTTCATTTATTTCCAAACTTTATTTTGGTGAAATGTATCTAAAAGAAATCAATTTAAGTTACAACAATTTGACTGTATTGGAGGGACCTTTCTTCAAGAACATATACGTTGACAAAATTAATTTGGCATTTTCNACAATTCATATTAGAATATTGTGAGGAATCATCTCCTGAAGTTTGTCAAAGTACTTTTGAATCACCCTGTATAAAAATATCACACGTTCTTATCGTTTTCAGAAATAACAATTCAATTTTACTAACCAATAATAAAAAACAATTCTCAAAACTATTATGTCTTTCCACTGAGACATTTGGGACGGAACCAGACCTGTTCATTAACCCACATATATATTTAATCAACTTTTTTTTGTACAGTACATCCGAGATATAAAGATGCAGTTGTTTACGTACTCATCCAATACTGATATAAAATCCGTTTATTTGAAGTGTTATTCTCCGATGTTTTGTCTGAAGGTGTGAAGGTGAGTCAGTGACATTATTATCGGGAATAAAAAAATCATTCAGTTACGTTTATACAGTGCTTTTCTTTATTGTCCCCCCTTTTCATTTTTTGAACGAGT